AGGCCCTCTCAAATTTTGCATGTTCTTAATGAACCCTTGGTAAAAGTTAGCTAGGCCGAGGAAGCTTTGTAACGCTTGAACGTTATCTGGGGCCAGCATGTTTCTGATCGCGTTGGCTCTTTCTGAATCCGGCCGACGACTGTCTTTATTTATGATGTGCCCTAAGTATTTAATCTCTCGTAAGGAAAAGTCACACTTTGCCTGCTTAACCTTAAAACCGTATTCTTGTATCTTTTCGAATACGTTTATTATATGGTTCCGGTGCATGCCGTAGTTTTACTAGTAACCAGTATATCATCCAAATAGGCTGTTGCGTAGTCAAGGTCGCCCAGCATTTACTCCAAAAGCCAATCTGTTGTATTTGTACAACCCTCTATGGGTGTTTATGCAGAGCAATTTGGAACTTTCTTCTTCCACCTCTATCTGAAGGTATGCGTCCGAGACGTCAATTTTAGTAAAAAATTTTCCACCATTGAGTTTATTGAAAATTTCTTCAGGGCTTGGGAGAGGATAGTGGTGGTCATGCAAGGCATCGTTTAACCCTGTGGAAAAATCTGCGCATACTCGTATTTGATTGGACTACTTTTTTACGTAGACCGTAGGTGCTGCCCACTCGCTGAAATCTGTTTTTGACAGAATACCTGCTTGTTCGAGTCTATCTAACTCTTTGTTGATTTGCTCTGGAGCAGCGAAAGGGACATTCCGTTTCTTTTTGAATACCGGTTGTGCACCGTCCTTCACCTTGAACTTGGCTTTTATTTTAGTACATTTCCCAAGGCCGCCAGAAAAAACCTGGGGAAATTGTTGTTTGAGTTCCTTTTTGAGATTTACCAAATTGGACGTTGTACTTTGTATCTTGCGACAAAATGTACTCATTGGGCAATCCCAAAGATTGAATTTTTCTATCCAATCTGTTCCAAATAAGTTATCTGAAGTTTTCAATACGTAGGCTTTGAGCTTTTTGGTAACTTCATTTAGTGTTACTAAAGTATTACCTCGCCTAAAATGTTAATCTTTTCGCCAGTTACGGATTTTGCTGTTTTATCCGTTTTTAATAAGGTCGGCTTGTTTAATTTTCGCCAAGTACGCCAATTAATGGTTGAAAGATCGGAACACGAGTCAAGCTGGAATTTAATGGAATTATTGAAAATATCCACAGTTACATATTTCCTTAAATTTCTATCGGCAATATCGTCCTATTGACCTTGCCTAATTTTATTTGGGGGTTTTCTCGTTCTGTTGGCGTACCAGCACGAAGTTAAAGTATGCCCACTTTTATTGCAATTTTTGTAATATTTTTTGTTCTTAACTGGACAGAATTTCATCCAGTGCCATTTACCACAATGGTAACATGGTCCGGGCGGTTTCTTTAACCTATTTGGGTTTTGGTTACTGCGGAATTTAGGACATGAGATTTGCCTTTTTGTCTTTTTTGAGGGAATAGGAAGTAGACTTGCTTCTGATTTTATTAATCTGAGCCACACCTGATTCCTCGATAGTGTTTGAGTCACACTTTACAGATATTACTCTTTGACAGTCCTCTGCCAGTTTTTGGAGAGTCAATCCTTGTTCTTTCTCAAGCTTGGTCAGTACCCGTCGTCTGACTTCGGCGTCTTCTGATGATACTAGACCTTGTGCGAAAATTAAGCACTTGAAATCATCGGCAGTCAGTTCGGCTAGTTTAAAATCATAACAGAGCTTGTTTACCGATGCTGCAAACGTTAGAAAATCTTGCTGGTTGTCTTTGACTGTGTTCAGGCATTTCCAACGTTTGTGGAACAAGGTTGTGTTAGGCCCGAATAGTTCCGATAGGAACTTAATAGTCTCTGAAAAATCCAAGTCAGTGGTTTTCTTGGGTAGTATGAAGTCTACGAACCTACTATGTTCTGTAGTTCCCAGTTTTCTCAATAGTAGACGTACCCTTTTTTTTTACTGGGGCCATTGTTCACAGTCTACGTTGAAAATATCTTCGTAGCGCCTGTAAAAAGACTCGAACGTTTTGTCGTTCTCTGGTACGTATTCAAAGGTTTCCATTGAATTGTAGATTGTACTCTGGGAGAATATTGTATCTTTTTCAGAGTTTGAGCCTTTTAATGCATTTACGAGTAATTCTTTAAGTTGTTTCTGTTGTAGTTCAGCATTCTGAAGCGTAATTCGTTGGAATTCCATTTGTTGTTTATGTAATTCCAAAAATAGTTGTTGTCTTTCTTCTGATTTTTGTTGCTGATCCAAATTTACTTTTAGCATTTGGGCAATTACTTTTTGAAAATCTTCCATATTTAGACAAACAAAAAAACAGCGATTTTTTGTTGCTTTGAAACCCGTGTACCAAGGGGAGGTACACAAAAAAAATTGATTTTTTTTTTTCTTTTCATTTACAACAAAAAAATATGGACAGACAATTAGTTAACTAAACTAATTATGAGATTCCGTGGTTCCGTTAATTTTAACGTAATTGTATAAATTTTCACCACACTTATTATTTATTTTTTTTATAGAGGTACAAAAAAGAGAAAACTCGCCTCAGTGAATTTGAGGGGAGAATACTTTTATGCACGAGATTCAACTCAGTTACATAAAAAAAATTTTTAGATAGTTTTTTTCGAAAACTTGAGTCGTAAATAGTACTTCGACTCTTGTGTTGTCAGTTTGTTTTATGAACAAACTTTTCTTTTTTTGTGTGTGGGTGTGTAAGAAATCGTTCTCGTAATGTTATTTGGACAGACTTTAATATTCCGTAGATGTCAAATCGCTAGTTCGTCACTGCTGTTTGGTATCGGAATATATTTTTTTTAATATGTAGACGCTGAGTGTTGCGTTTAAGTCGCTAATGTAGTAATGCCAGCTTAATTTCTCGTTCAACACTGCTGTGGGAACGCGTGGAGTTTCTGTGTATTTTTCGAGTACTCTGTCGCTATTGATATGGTGAGAACGAAATTCTCAAATCTTTCTGTCGTCACTGATGTGGGACTGGCAAGGTATTGCGGTTTTCGGCGTGAATGCGTTTCCCGAATTCTTCGTCGACACAGATGTGGGACTGGTAAAGTATTAAGGATTCGGCGTGAGTGCGTTTCTCGAATTCTCGTCGCCACTGATGTGGGTGCCAAAGTTGGGACCACAGAAGGAAAACACGGATAACGGATTAGAGGTAAGAAAGATATATTAAACAAAAAGGTTACAAAGATAGTGTAAGTGCAAGCGGAGCTTACTATGTGCTAGTGTCCAATATTGGTAGTCGTACGCGGCTGATACTACGGTATTAGAATACTCTCTCTCTCCTCCTTTTCTTCTTCTCTCTAGAGTGTTATGTCGCATACTTTATATAGTCCTGGAAGAGTCCATGTTCTAGGTATGTTACGGTCTCACAATAGATTTGTAACTTATTTATGTAAAACAGTGTTTTATATAAGAGCGTGATTCTCAGCATGTCCCACCGGATCAAACGAGTAATTAATAGCACTTGATGTCATACAAAATACTGACGATTTGAAAAAAACCTATATCATTTTTGCTAATCCTTTGTATGTGTGCCTGTGTTGATGTTAGTGTGCGTATGTGTGCATTCGAGTATCATTTTTAATTCACCCCAAGTAAGGCGATAATATCACTAAGACGCAACTTTCTTCTAAAGTCTTCACGTTCTCTTTCCCTTCTAGTAGTGGCTACGGGGAGTGAAAGAGAACGAAAAGACTTTGGGAGGAAATGGAAATCCAAACCTAAACAAGAAATAAGGGACAAAACTTCTACTCCTGTTCATAAGACATGAGAGGAGGGAGTGAGCAAGGGACGATAGGTGAATCTATCTATTACGATTGAGGGAGAGAAAAAAGTACAAAAATAGTAAATAAAATTTCAGAGTTTAGGCGGAGACGGTATAAGTTTCTTAAACGTTTTCAAAGATGTCTTTTTGTCGGCTGGGCCTGCGACCATCTATCACATATATGTTTTCCAATATGATCGTTCACAACTATTTTTGGTAAACTTACTTGAATTTCTCAAGGCCTGCAAAACACCAGATAATGTTATCTTGAGATGACACAGTTGAGTGATTTCTATTTGAAATAGGACGAACGGCCGTCCAGTGCTTTCTGCATTCTGTTGAGGTTTCTTTCAGACTCGATGAATTAATTAAATATAATTATCAAATCCTCCTAATAATATCTATCATGTACATCATTGCTTGAACCGGCTTCTAGAGTGAGCGGCTTTGTGAGAGTAGTCGTGACTCCAGAAGGCACAGTCCTATGGTTACAGAGAATAGATTTATTTTAGAATATTAAAACATGTTAAAAATCGCTACATAATGGCAATTATATTTCGACACGACGAGTGAAAGATTAATTTAATTTCAAAAGCAGAATACTTTTAAAAAATAGTCATGTGAGTTTTGCCGTGATTAACCAATCGAATGTGACTTACGCTAAATTCAAACCCACCGGAATTTTTTTATTAAATATAGATCATGACACGAAGTTGTCTGCATATAAAGCCTACACAAGTTCCTTATTGGCAAATACGCGTTGCTACATCATTTCGTAAGAAGTATCGAATTCTGACGTTCAATTTTCCTAAAAATTAAAAGCGGAAAAAGGTGGGGATGTAATTTAACATAATGCTAGTCATATGCTCTTTCAGCTTCTTACATAAAATTTTGTAGTTGATAAATAAATTTCTTACATTAAATTACTTACATAAAATAATTCCTTTGTGTGCTTGTGTCTGTGTTTCCGTGTGTGTGTGCGCGCTTGTGTGTTCGCCTGTGTCTTCATGTCTGTGCCTGTGTGTGTGTGCGCGCCGCGCGCGTGCTCTCACTCGGCTCCTTGAATGCAAAAACAATCCAAGAATATTTTTACAAGATAATATTGCACGAACACTTTGCTGCTTGCTTCTACAGATTGACAGAAGCGAAGAGCCGATTCGAACTCGCCACATGCGTCTTTATGGCGGATAATTTAAGCTGTTTGCGCTTGATTGTAAAACTTAAACTAAGCCTAAATGACCACTTCTCCGTTTTGAACTGGCTCATATTGGATCTTCTCACCCACGTCAGCAATTTCAGTTACGCCTGACAGAAGGCTAAGCGTTTTCTTCTCGATCAACAGTCGCCTGCTTGGCAAGAACAGTCTGTTAAAACGTTTGATATAGCCGAGCATTTTCGGTGCCATTATATCTAATGCGTTAATCACGCAAAGTCACGTGACGCCAAAGATGCGATATACCTACCTTTTGTTTCTGGCTTTCAAGTAATTACTTTTTCCGTTAGCGACAGATTTGATTATTACGCCGGAAGGATACTCTTTCGATTTTATTATGCCGCGTGATGGATTCTTGCGCTAATGGAAATAACAAGTGTTTCTCTTCCTCTTGTTGCAATGTCTCTTAATTCCATTGCTTCTGTTATATTTCATCAAACCTATAAATTGTCATAAATCGTCAAGAATAAAATAAAGATTATGTTGAGTCATAAATAATTTCCGCTTTTTTTTATCTTCTTTCTTTCTTATTTAATCGGTATCACCCCATGCAAGGCAATAAAGCCACTAAAACACAAGGGATTACAGGGTGTGGGAGAAATAGCAAGAGAAACATTAATAATGAGCGTGGAGGGGAAAGAGTAATCAAGACAGAAGATAGTGATTGATATTGCATTTAAATTTTTGCAGATTAAAGTTGGCTGGGAAGCATGGAGCCGAAATAAAATAAACTGTTAGCAGCCCAGCAGTAAATTGATGAGATCTCGATGCCATTCTAGTTCTGTGCTTATATTCAAAAAGTCTAGGTACCGTAGCAAAGAGCTCATCCGAATAATTACCATGAAAGTATTTATAAAAAAAAAAGGCACAGGGAGGCAACTTTACGACGGTGGGAATGTGACTAAAGCCGAGTTGCCAGTTTAGGACCAATAATATTGCTGATTCTTCTTTGGATTTTATCAAAGTAAATAGCAGGGGTACCAAACCATATGTGGCAGAAATATTCCAAGCAAGGACGAATGGTAGATTTATAGATATGTAAGCTATATTCTGGACTGATAGATTTGTAACATAGATTCTGGAAAATCAACTTCTTAAAAAAAAGGAAAATTACATTTTATTCAATTATATATTCACCATCATTTGCAATGAATTGTAGGCACGTACCAGGCAGCTCTTTGATATCGTTGAGTAAAATCGACGTAAGATTTTCGACGATCATTTAATATCATTTTCATTAGAAAGGTTTTCTCTACCAAATCATTTTGCAGCGATCAAAAAAGGAGATAATCGGTTATTGCAAAGGTCAGGTGAATATGGCGTGTCAGGTAGAACAGACCAACCGAGTTCCAAATTATTCTCCTGTCTTATCCTTATATTTTGCTGTCTTGCGTTGTCATGAAAGCGGCGAATACCTTTCCTGGGCGTACGGCCACATCAAGTTGAAATATCGGTTCTCGTATGAGCCCCGAAGTTTAAGCAACGTCTAACCTAGTCAGTAGCTAGATGGGTGACCGATTGGGAATACCTGGTACTGTGAGCTTGGATGCGCGGGTGGTGTAATGGATAATGCTTAATCGGAGAGCCGAGTTCCATTTCACGCTGGATTTGTAATATTCACTTACACCCTTGGGAAAGGTAGGAAACTACCTTTTCTCACCCAGCTTTGGATTAATTAGTAAGACATTTATAATTAAACCATTATCATCTCCTCTCCTCATCTCCACCCCACTAAAATTTCTTGCAATCTAAAAATATTTTATAATTTTAAATAACCTGCAAACGGTTGATAAGCCTTAAAAGTCAAATCCATCAATCAAAGATTTTTCCTATTGACGAGAGCAGGCGGTGCGGGTCAAGCAAATGTTTATGGACACATTACAGCTGCTGGGTTTATAAATATGCAGGATATCTAACAACCGCCCCACGCGGTCAGATGTGGCACAAGGCCGAATTTAATGTGGGGTATCCGAGTCCGTATGCTCGGCCGAAAATTCACCGTAGACCCCGTCTAAAACGGGGTCGGGTAGCTGTTTCCCGAGACGAGACTCTGCCCTTCGACATACCCTCGTCTGTGGATCTTCTCTGCCCGGAGGCAGAGAGTTTGAACCAGTACAGCTGGAGACGAATCTCCACCTGCAGCCCAATATACAGAGTTCACTACTATATTTATGTGAATGGGGTCATACCCATTATCGTCCGTAGATATGCTACAACATGTCGATTATGAAGTTTTATCCTTGTCAATCTGCTGCCTCTTTCGTTGAACATTGTTGAATGCAACTCACTTTTCATCACCTGTTATGAAACAATTATGGAACGCTTAGATAGGATGATATATTTGTTATTATAATTCGTTGCCAAAAACGGTAATTACCTGTGACAGAATTTAACATAAAGTTAAAGTTGCCAAAAGTGGTAGCGGCAGTATTAGCCGTTTCCTTATAAGGAAACATTCGATGGTCATTGACCAATCAGCCAGCGCTAATGTCGGTTGAAATTTATAAAATCTTTCTTTTAATATCTGTTATCGCTCTGTCTAATACTGACAGGAGTTTCCTTCCTAACCTTTTGTTTGATGTAGTGTGGAACGCTGGCATCTAGATTATGTCATTATTTTCTCTTCGAGCACAAGTGATGTGGTTTCGGTTATTTCATAAATTTTTTTTTATGATTCTCTGAAGGATTGTTCTCTAAGACCAAAATTCATTCACGTGGAACGGTTTTTAAGCGATGATCTGAGAAAACGTTTCTATATGGCTGAGAGTTTAGAAATTCCTGAACGCATTGTGATGCCATGCATAACATCCGTAAGGGAATCTAAATCTGATGAGGTTATTTATGAACATCACTCAAGTTCTTATGGTAATACTTTAGTTTGGTAGTTTTTATAGAGGTTGGGTAAAACTTACTCGTAGCGCAACTACATAGCAAAAACAAAAAGATCCCGTGATAAACTGATTTGAGTCTTCTTCTTTTATGTACTGTGTTCCTTCGGGGCATAGGCGATCATGGCTCTCCATTTCTTCCTGTTCCTTGTAGCTCTCAATAAGTTTTGTCTTTTTGTTATTTCTCCCAGACCCTCTCCTACCATCCACTTATTTAAGCCCGTTAAATATGTCATGCATTGCTTTCCCTTGCCCTTTTTCCCCTCTATCCGCCCTGTGAGTAACAGATTTTCCAAGCCCTCCTTCCTCATTACGTGCCCCTGAAATTTCAACTGCCTCTTCCTGGTGTTAAGTATAAGTTTCCTTTTTGTTTCCATTTTCTCTAAAACCTCGTTGTTGCTCACATGTTCGGTTCATGGTATCCTCAGCATGCTTCTGTAGAAATTTCAGCTACCTCTTCCTGATGTTAAGTATAAGTTTCCTCTTTGTTTGCATCCTCTCCAAAACCTCATCGTCGCTCACATGTAGAACAACATCTCTGTTGGCTCCAGTTTGTTCTTCATCTTTGCAGAGATCGTTTAACATTCGCTGCCATAAAGGAGAACAGATATCACATAGCAGTTCGGTACTCTTTTCTTTGTTATCAACGAAATCCTCCCGTCTTGTAATACTCTCTCTCGCTTTTGGAATGCGTCTTTGGATTATCCCAAGGCGTCTTCAGATCTCAGCGTTGTACTTTCGGTCCTCTGTCAGAACACTTCCCAGATATTTAAATTTCCGCACCGGCTTGATTTTAGTGTCCCTGACCTGTAAATCGCATTTCGGGCACATATTTTGGCTGCCAGCTCTGATTAGCGAAAGAAAATTCAAATTTACAGGACACTATTAAAAAGAAAATAGAGTTTACTAAAAATTAATTTTTCTAGAAGCCACCTCGTGGTTATCACAGCATTGTATGCACTTCAAAGACATAAAATGATAAATTCACTCAAGATACTGGATGAAATATGTATAAATCGCCAAATTCTATGAATGACAGAGAAGGACGGCCTCGTGAATTCGATATACTGAGGATTATATATATATATATATATATATATATATATATATAGCTTTAAAGTATGCTATATTTATGGGCTAAAATGCACAATATCAGAGATAGAGTGTATGTAAATATAAAAGCGAACTCAGAACTCATTGGCGATAGACTGTTTCATGCTAGACGCAATAATCAGGCCACATGTGTTTGGTATTTCTCGACTGTATATATATATATATATATAAAACAGTCAAACATGAAGAAAAATCAACAACACCTAAAAAGAAGCCCCTTGGAAAGGACTAAAGATGTGGGCAAATAAATTGGGACAATTGACAATACGGAAAAATTTTGCACTCCCTTACTCTACCGAACGGGAAAATGTAAGAATGCTGGAAAAACTAAATTAAAAAGTAATTTTACTTGTGTGTCATAGTTAACGATCGATATATTCTTAAAAGAAAGGTTGCTACACAAAAATATATATATATATATATATATATATATGCATGAGATAACGATATATATTTTTATATCAAGAACAATATTAGAGAAAAATGAATGACAAAGTGGAAAGTTTTCTTGTGACGCGTTTCGTCCGATGAAGTCCTAAAGGATAAAACGCGTCTTTTTCTGATAAAATGTAAGAGTTCAACTGATGTGGTTTTTGTTATTTAGTAAAACTGTTTGTGATTATGTAGCGCCCGTCTGTACATTCTGATGAAGAATTGTTTTCTTTAAGACCTAAGGGATTCATTTCTTGAAACCATTTTTAATCCTTGATCTAGATCTGAAGAGGCCATTTAGCAGCGTATGACCCGAGTTCTTTGGTTAATTTTTGGTTTTGCAGCCAGCGTGAACGGAATACAACTGAAGCGTAATTTTTCGTTAAATGATTAGTTACTAAATGATTAGTTACTAAATGATTAGTTACTAAAAGGAAGTAATAGAATAATTTATTTATTTATGGTGTGTTCCGAAAGTCTTGTCACCCTCCAACTTCTAGAATTTGTCGATTGGCTCCCAGAAGTCCAAACCTCAAGTCTTCTATAATGGTGTCGGTGTCAAGATTTTCAAACCACCTTGTATATTGCATTTTACTTTTATGGATGTGAGAGTGAGCCCCTCAATTAAGCGGATATTTTCACAGTCTTGTCCCCTCTACATAATATAATTTTCTATTTCAACGCTCTGTGGGGTATTATTATCAAGGAGAGAGTTTCA